CTCCAAAAAAACAACCTGTTACCGAATGACATCGATCATGCTATCAATTAATTGAAAGTTTAAATAAATATTTTTCAAAAGTTTGATGTTTATAGCAATATTTTATCTTCTTAGGTTCCAGTAAAAAAATCAGCCATTGCATGATAGGAATGTCTCCATTGATTAAACATGTTTTACTTTCTATGCCAACCACGATAATTATGCTTTTATTATTTGCATGAAAATGCAAAAAGTATAATAATTTGTACTGCGTAATACATATTTTTCTTAACGTAAAAATGAAAGAATTAATTTAGCTTTGCATAATTAAGATAATCGTTTGTATTATAGTGCTTTCAAGCAATGCTACAACATATCACAATCCAACAGCATGATAAGAAATGCTCGTTAAATCAGTAGGAATCTCGTGCTAGTATTGAAAAACTTCGGAAATCTTGATGAACTATTGGTTAATCGACTGTTTGTCGAATTCGATTAGCCGATCAATTACCATGCCTTTCTATTTTACAACCAATAGTTTCTTCAAATTTTCCGCCAAAACATTAAGAAGGAATTCATGACGAAAATTTTAAGGGAAAGGAAAGTAAGACGAGCAGTACTAGCGTAAGTTAGGAAGCGATGGAAACTGAAGGAAACCACGCCATGCCTGTTACTTTCATAGCGGTTGTAAGATTTTGTGTCGGTATCAAGAATACGTCTTGCACGATAAATCGTCAGAGCCACGCGGTCACTGTGGAGAAAAAAATCAGAGTTTTCGTGTGTGATCTCGAGAAGCCAGTGACGTGCTGCAAAGCGAGTGCGTGGTGTCGGTGTCGCGCGAAGAGGAAACACGATTCAGCACCCGCTCTAGGAACTACACACGATAAAGGAGCAAGCACGCAACACACAATCCGCGGATATCTGTTCCCGTATCGAGAGGAAAGCGATTGAGTAAAATAAGTGGGGCTTATTCGGCTTACTTCACCGGGGGTTCTACCCCGTTTTTCCAGCTCTATCCGCTTCTCCATGGCCGGTAGATCCGTTTATAACTCCGTACACAGACCACTGCACCTTCCTGCGTCGCAACAACTAGTCGCAACCTTGCTTTCAAACCGGGAATATGACGGACGGACCACGGTCGGTCACCAGTCGGACAGAGCCACCACCGTACCGAGGAGCCAACCCAACGGCGGTTCGATTCTGGCCTAGGTCCTATGTTCTCTACACTCAACACTCGACTCACCGGACTGGCGAGGCCCCCACACAACAACAACCCACAAGGCGGGAAACGAAACACATGTCTGCAACTACTTTCGAAGCGACCAATCCTGTTCTTTCTCTTACTCGCGGCATCGATCGACAGGACATCTTTAGGCAATTAAACGAACATTATTTCTGCGCGCCTAAATTCAGTGCATCTAGTACAATATACTTTTATGTTTGGCTAATAATTGCGCACATTTATATTTAAATAATGTTAATCAGTCTAATGATGGTTTTGATAAATAAATGTGTTGTGTCGAATAAATATCGCAAATTATACTTCTTCGGATGTTCGTTAATAACGAAGAAATTGTTTGCATCCGTTACCGCAATCACTTTCAAGGTTCCGGCGCTCGTGTAAGTTAAAGAATTACATTTGTGAATACGTACTAATTTTATTTTGCATAATATTGCAAAGAAAATCCATTGCAATTTCAGAAACTATCAGTTTAGTACAAACAAACACAATGATAAATGTTACTTCACCACTTACTAATATTGAAATGTATATATGCGCTCTCTGTATGCATTGGTATTTATTATTTTATAGGAATTTTTAAGGTATGTTTTTATTAGATCTGTATTAAGACTTAGATTATGGGTCCAAATAAAATAAAAGTTACAATACATTATTAATAATATTAATTATAATTTTAATTTTTAACGTTAATATACAGTTTTCTATAGTTCGTACTGTTCTTATCAAATTTGTATTTCCTATATAAAAGAATATATTATTTGATTTGATTAAATTATATAATTTTATATACATTCTTGTCGAATGAAGTTGAAGGATTTGTTGTAGTATGTATCACCCATGTGCGCACGAAATGTTATGGACATGAATTAAAGTGTCATGTAAGTGTCGTATATAACTAAATACCTTCTTTGTTCAAGAAATTAACAAAATTTGGTAAATAAATTTTATGTACAATTTGAATTACAACAACTACGATTGTTTATAATTTTATAAAAAAATTTATCATTATCTTATTATAGAAAAGTGATTTAGTTTGGATTTTATTTTATAAAATATTTATATTTTACATTATTATATTTATATTTACCATTCCATTAGTACTAAAGAATATTGTTGCTGTAGTAGTGATTATAATAATGAAATGTAATGTTTGCACTAAATGACAATGTCTACGTTTAGTGCTTATGTGATCCGCCCCTGTAGGTATAGAATTCGTGAAGGGTTGAGATCAATATACGTTCATTGATTGCACTATAGGTGCGCTGCGTCGGCTTCATCGAGTTTGTCTTCCTCTAAGCACTAAATACTGAGCATGGACTCATCTGACTAACTTTTCTTATCCTATGTATACTGAACATACGACATTAAAAATTATTCTTGTTAATGATATAGCCATCCTATTATGTAGGAAGTTTTGCGAACATCGGTAAATTTGTTTCATTCAGATTTACCTTTAAATATTATAATATAATCTCCAGGGAATGCACGAAAGTAATTTGATTACGATTCATGTAACGCTAATGCTTATTAAGGATGTGTATGACGTTTTCTATTACAATAAATAATAATTGCACAAAGCTTAATGTTTTATACAACTGAATAACATACCCAGTAATAACATATATAAAAACTGAGAGACATTTCATATTGAATAACTTAAATACCTCATAATTTATTGTACATTACGCCTATACGTATACAACTTGTTTTAATATTAGATAATACATAAATATGTTATAATTCACAAACATCCAAAAATGTTACTGCGAATCAGTTTAGAATTTATTAAATCATTCGTCTATTGCGTAGCAGTAAAAAATCTTCTACTATGACGTCCATAATTATTGATTCAAATTATTGTCGTTTCTACCTGAGTAATTTATATGTACGTATGATAAATGACAAGCATTATGTTGTAAAATTTTTAGTTTAAGACTGGAGGATGTCCGTCTTGTATACATTTTTTGACATTTAAAAAGTTTCAAAATTTAAGAGTTTGAAACAAAATTGAACTACACTTTGCGATATTTAAAAATCGTCAAAGCAAAATATGAGTCAAGTTTTGTTTTCGACTGAGAAAGTACAATAATAACGTTAATTACCACGATCTTGAACGTCATACTCGACGTTGCTCCGTAATAATTTAAAATTTTTTCAAAAATCGAAATTAACAGCGGAAAACGATTTTCAAATTCGTATTTAACAAAATCTGTAAGAAAAAGTCAATACTATACTTTGAAATGAAATGATTGTACCTATTGTTATATTAATCAGTAAAAAGAATGTAGAACTATCTTGATGAGAATTGTAATTTACTTACAATCGATTGAACACATATCGTAGTATGGATTACAACTTCCAATCACATTACTAGTTATAAATAAATACAGGTTTCTTCTTTTTAGTCTGTATTTATGCGCTGCGCAATGTCAAAAACATTTAAAGCGTATTATGTGCATTTGCACAAATCATAGTATTTTTATTGTACTTATGCCATATACGCACATAATGTAACTACATACGTTCTCGAAACGTTCAATTATGGTAAACGATCTTTTATATCTTCAAACAGATAGTAGGTTGACAAATCTTTTTAATTAATAATTAATTCTAGATATGTTTCGATAAAATTGTTAGTGAAGATTGGTGAGACTGATAAAAAAAAAGTTAATCCACTTTTGCTAGAATATATTAATATAAAAGAATTAGTAGTACTGAAGAAGGTTAAAATTTAAAACAAATTATGAAACATTTGATAAATATATGTATAATAACAGAAAATTAGATAAATTAACAAC